GACAGCGACGGCCGACGGCACATAGGAGAGAGGCGCCGGAGCCAGCCGCGACCGACGCCGTCGTCCGCGCCGAAGCCCGCCGCGACCACCGTCGTCGTTCGCGCCGGAGCTAGCCGCGACCTCCCCTCTCTGCCTTCGATCTCCGGCCATGGCCGCGCGCCGCCCCGGATCTCCCGCTCCCAGATGGGCGCCCTAGCTCCTCCTCACCGCCACGGTGCTCCTTTCGGCCGCACCTCCATCGTCGTCCCCATCTCCGTCATCCCCTCCCTCTTCGTCGCCGTCCCGATCTCCACCATCGTCGTCTCGATCTCCGCCATCGTCGTCCCGCCCACCACCGGATCCCCTACCATCGCCAGCATCGCCGCCTTCGTCCACAGCCACATTTGTCGCCGCCTTTGCCCCCGGCCATCCAACGGCGCGAACTCGGGGAGGAGAGGGGAAGAAGAACGGCGCCGTCGCTATCCACTGCGCCTCCTCCGTCCACCGCGCCGTCGCCATCCACCGTGCCTCCGCTCTGACCACGCCGACACCGTCCACCGCCCCTCCGCCTCGTGGCCTCTGCCGTCTCCGCAATCGCATTCTACATCCGCCGTCGCTGTCCACCGCGCCTCTCAACCGCGCCGTCGCCGTCCACCGCGCCTCTGCTCCGACCACGCCGACACCGTCCACCGCCCCTCTGCCTCGTAGCCTCCGCCGTCTCCGCCATCGCATATGGGGAGAAAAGCGAGAGAGAGGGGGAGAAAGAGTAGAGACTGACTTGTGGGTCGTTGTCATAGACTCAGAGTAGAGAGCGTGGATAGAGATGTTGTTGGAGTAATCTATAAGTTTGACTCTCCAAATCAATTGGAGAGTTGGCTATATAGGTGTTTGGAGAGTCGGATTTGGGTAGTCTGTTGGAGATGCTCTTATGAATAATAGCCTGAATGAACTACCAGTTGTTTTCTGTGTCAATCTGTCAAACTGAATATATGCCCAGCTTCACGCATTCGGATAAAAGATGAACTGAAACCAACACGAATTTTGTAATCTGTCAAACTGTCAAACTACTTGTTGTGCATTTTCTGCACATGTGCTAGAGCACAACAGCTTGATAGGTTTGATACAGGTTCAGTTTCATGTATTGCAATATATTGATGGCAAATATGTCTCAGATAAGAAGCTCTTGTTGCAGTTCAGATTTTGGCAGCATGTACCCTTTTTTACTAAATTTTGGCAGCATCTACCCATAACAAGAGCATACAGGTTAAGATTAAAATGTTCACAATACGAAAATAAGCATGTCTCATTCAGGAATACATCAAGTATAGGGACTTCCAGCAAGTACACTTCCACGGTTCATAGTTCACAGCTTGTTTGGCCCTCGTCCACGATGATGACGGCATGATCCATGGCGGCGGCCTCAACGGAGATGGGATCAATGGCGACGACAGGATCAACGGCGCTCGCCCGCTGGTCCTGCACAGGGTCTGTCGCGTTGGAATTCGAAACGTCGCGCGTGCCGGACTCCAAGGCGGCAGCGGCACGTTCTACACCGTGACCTCACAACGGGAGGGTTTGCGACATGGCGGCGGTGGCGCGGCGAAGGGGCGCCGGCGAGTCGCTGGAAGGCGGCGGGGACTCAGGCAGGCGGCGGCGGCGAATCGTGTGTGCTATAGAAATGAAACGACGCGGGGAGGGCGGACGGACGGAGCTGTGATTAGGGGGGATTTGCATAAAAAACAAATTAGTAGAGATGAGTGAGGGCGGTTAAGTGCAAAAGTAACCCACCTCTGTCCCTAGAGCTGGGACTTGGGCCGTGCCGGGCTAGCACGGCACGGCCCAGCGTGCTTCGTGCCAAATTGGGCCGTTCCGGCCCAGCACGGCCCACTTGTCGTGCCGTGCCGTGTCAGCACGGCCTCTTCAGGACGCGGCCCAAGCACGGCCCAATGGCCCGACGGGCCTATTCGTGCCAGGCCGGCACAAGCACGACCCAAAAGACGGGAGCAGGCCGGCTGCGCTAAGAAGAAACTCTGGCGGCGACGCGGCAGCGGTGGCTTGCGGCTTCGTCGTCCCGTCGCGGTGACGCGGCAGTGACAGCCACGCCCATCCTGCTCCTCCTCGTCAGCTCGTCGCGGGGACGCAGCCCACCGGCGTGGCGGCGTGAGTCAGCCAACAATCTTGCCAAATGCTAGTGCTGGCCTGCTGGGCTGATGGCCTTGCTGGTTGCTGCTACGTGCTACCGATGAGCCGATGAAGAAAACGAGCTGCTACTTGCTGCTACCTGCTGGCTGCATAGGAAATTTGACCGTGGATGGGTGATGGCTGATGACCTCGTGCTGCAGCAGCCATTCGCGTGCCGTGCCGGCCCAAGCACGGCCCAGTGGTCGTGCCGTGCCGCCCGTTGTGCCCGTTGTCCAGGCCCAGGCACGGCCCACGTACGGGCCGTGCCGGCCCAGCCCATTTACGGTCCGTGTCGGACCGTGCTTTCTATCGTGCCGGACCTTCGTGCCTTGGGCCGGCCTGATAAAGCACGGCCCAAGTCCCAGCTCTATCTGTCCCTAGCCATCGGATGGGCATCCTGTGGTCTTGATTGAAAGTTTGTAAGGTTGCACAACAACCCTGATTTGCACCGGATACGGTGCCTTTTTTAATTTGCTCGTACAGTCGTACGCTAGCTACAACGAAACAAGCAACCGGCCGGAGAGATACTGTAGCTAGCTGATGATCTGGTCCGTTCATCAACAAAATAGATGGCTCCTATTGCCTGCAGTATCTTAACTTGTAGTCCATGTACAAACTGCATGTGATCCCAATTCGATACTGTGGGCTTTCAAACCGCGCGTCGTTAGCATTAGTTATGCGCGCTATATCCCAACGTGCGTAATTTATACATCGATCCAACAACTAGGTAGCTTAGACATCGCTCTCTTCGTACGTTAATGTATTTGAGTATACGAGAGTACGAGATACGCATGCATACAGAGTACTACATCTACAGTTGTCATCTTGTCAATCTGAGTCTTGTCAACTACAGAATTAACTCCCTCTCATTTATATTATTATGAGTTATTTTGATTTTTTTTTCGCGTTAAACTTTTTTTACGTTTGATTAAGTTTTATTAAAAAAAAGCAACATTTATAACATTTAGTTTCATTAAATATAACTTGAAATATGTTTTGATACTGTGTTTATGTTGTGTTAAAAATGTTACTCCCTCCATCTATTTTTTATAGTCATATTTCATCTTGGCAGATAGAATAAGGATAAGTAATTCTACTTATCATCCATTTAAACATGCTACTAGTTATTCCTTGTAACAAGCGATTCTTTAATATTTATATTTCTCGATATCCATGTAGCCAATCTTGTATGAAAGAATGTAGAGTCACGCCTTAAATCCAAGAAAGTCATTAAGAGTATAGATTGTTAGATTGAAATATGTCTATCAAAAATAAAATTTTTAGATTTGGAAATATGCCTATCAAAAGTAGATGGAGAGAGTATTATATTTTTCTATAAATTTGGTTAAACTTAGAAAATAACTAAATCTCTAATATTATAAAAATTGAAGATATTTTTGCCGGTATTTTTGGTATGTCATCCGTATATAAGTCGGTTATTAAGTTCATTCACTTTTAGAAACACAAATTCATATTTTAGTCGGTTTTTAAGTTAGTTCGTTTTTGGAAATATAGAAGGAATCATATAAAAAAATCTCTTTAAAAAACTCGCATTCTAACTTAAGATGATCAGACTTCTAATTGTAGCACATGATTTTCTAACAAAAATATATATATTCAAATGAATTTAATATAATGAATTTCACCTTAACTAAACCATATAATAATAATAAGATTAAAATAGTCTCTTCATCCGTTACAACGTACGGATATTTTTCTAATGATTTATAGTAGGAAACGGAGAGCGTAGTAAACAAGTCAAGCAGGTTGTTGCCCAGCTAGCCATGCATGCGTGTGGGACTAATCTTATTTTGTTTTCTCGAAGAACTTCTCTTACTTAATTGACCAGAGACGCATGCATGCACAATTAGTACTAGCAGCTAGGTAGTAGTGGAACTGGTCGATCCAAAACTTTATGTCGCATTCTGTAATGTAGACGCATGCATTCAACTCATGGATGGCGTTTACTGCTTCGCGCTTTCTTCCTCTATAATTCGGCGATGGATTATTCAGATTTGGGCACAAGTCATATTTGGCATCGATCCCTGACCGATGTATCGATCCTAGGATATTCCTGATACTTCCAAAACAATTGTCACTGTCGACGAGTCGTCAGTCGATGGGATATAGGAGTAGTAGGGCTGTGTGCATCTAAACTTCAGTCCTTTTTTATCCCATCAACCTGTCATACACATATAACTTTTCAGTCACATCATCTTCAATTTTAATCAAAATCCAAACTTTGGATCCAACTAAACTCAGGCTAGATGTTATGTGAAACTCAAAACTAATTAACCTGCTAGCAACTCCAATTACTGTGCAGTGAGAAAAACTATGCATATCTGTTGATGACCTGTACACTCTTGGAACTAATTCGTGTATTGTAAGATGTGTTGACTTTAGTCAAAGTCAAACTATTTTAAATTTAACTAAGTGTATAAGCAAATATAGTAATATTTATAATACCAAATTAGTTTTATTAAATTAATAATTGAATATATTTTTATAATAAATTTGTCTTGAGTTAAAAATATTATTATTTTTTCTATAAATTTAGTTAAATATGAAACAGTTTTGATCAAAGTTAAAACGTCTTGAAAGCTGACAACTGTGTAGTACTAATTAAGTACAGTACTATGGAAATCGTCGAAATTACTCTTATACTAGTAATTAACAAAACAAGGTCAACTCGACACCAGTTCGATCGTCATCACTGTACACGTCTACACGACTTTCTGGCGTTGATTAATCTTCCAACTAATGGCATTACAAACACATGGTGCCGTTCGATTGATTTTCTCGAGGTCCTCTTCACCTGGAGCCGCCGCTGCTGCTCCTACATATCTGTCGACAAGCAACTTGCTGCTCCAAGTTGCGCATCCATTTGTGCCGACGACAGATCGATGATTTTATCAGCTTATATATGTACATGCGTTGACAGACATAGCTACATAGATTTTTAAGGAGAGGAGAGAAGACGACGACGCAGCAGAGAGATTTTTCAGGATGATGAGGAGGCGCTGCAGCGGCAGCCATGGCAGGCAGCTGCTGCTCCTGTATTGGCTGGTGATCGCGTGTTCTTGGGTTGCAGCTGCTCAGGCTCAGCAAGCTCCAAGAACTGATCCAGTTGAAGGTATGTGTATCAGTTGAAACGTGCTTTTGGATTGGATATATACATGTTCATTGGTCTCCGATTTGCAAATATGCTAGCTTTCTCTCCATTTTTTTTCATTGAGTCTTCAGAGATAGGAAGACAGATTAGAGATATGTTTGATGTTGTTTTGATTTCTTTTTCTCTTTTCGCCGGATGAGAGATGGAACGTCTTCGATCGGTTCATTAAGATTTAGAAAGGGTTTATTACATGTGCATCAGCAAAAATGTTGCCGATCTTGAAGAGAAAATAGCACTGCAGAGTTGATCCTGGTGGCTTATTAATTCATTTCTTCTCTCTTTTTTTGGAAGAAGAATTATTTTCTTCTTGGCTGTTTCTTGTCCCTTTCCTTCAATTATTTTTTAGACCAATAGTCAGAAGCGACCTCTTTTTTCATCTAAAAATAAAAATAAAGAGACCTGTTTTATCTTCGACGAAAGGTCAGTTATCCCTGCTTCTGTTCAAAGCAGAGTTAGCCGGATCGTTTGTTCCACGATTTTCTTCAACTCTATAATGTACTCCCTCCGTTTTAAAATATTTGACACTGTTGACTTTTTAAGTACATGTTTGACCGTTCATCTTATTAAAAAAAATTTTGTGAAATATGTACAACTATATGTGTACATGAAAATATATTTAACAATAAATCAAATGATATGAAAAGAATAAATAATTACTTAAATTTTTTGAATAAGATGAATGGTCAAACACGTACTAAAAAGTGTGTCAAATATTTTGAAACGGAGGGAGTAATACTCTATCGATCATCACATAATTAAAAATTAGAAATTTCAAATTAAGATCACATTACACTGTACCTTCATTTAACATATAGCATTATTGTATAGCACAGTATTTGGGGTAGTTAAAGCGCACGTTTCTTGATTAATTTCTACCACATAATCACATTAAATGAAAATAAAAGGTTAAGTTGTCTTTGATCGTGATGAAAATAATCACAATCAAATAAAAATAATGGAGGGAATAATACATTACACGCAGTTCTCGAAAAAAAAATAGAGGAAGAGAAATCAATCATTAAGATGATGAACAACTTGTGTAATACTACCTCTATATTTTAATGTATGACACCGTTAATTTTTTTTCAAAGTTTGACCATTTGTTTTATTAAAAAAAATTATATAATTATTATTTATTTTAATGTGACTTAATTCATCATCAAATATTCTTTAAGTATGATATAAATATTTTTTATATTTGTAAAAAAATTGAATAAAACGAATGGTCGAATGTTGGTCGAGAAGTGAACTGCGTCGTACATTTTAAAAACTTTTTTTTTTGCACTATTCGCCGCTGCTTCTTCCTCTCTGTTTTTTCTTTTCTTTTCTTTTTCTATATTGGTTTAGACCTTGCATATAAAGAAATGGATTGGTGTTTGTGTGGAACGCCAATGCAGTGGCGGCGCTGAACGCGATCCTGGGGAGATGGGGAACGAATCCGCCCAAGACTTGGAACATCACCGGCGGCGACCCCTGCACCGGCACCGCCGTCGACGACACCAACATCGACGACAGCCCCGTCGTCAACCCCGGCATCAAGTGCGACTGCTCCTTCAACAACCGCACCGTCTGCCACATCACCAAGCTGTACGTGCACGCCTTTGACTGAACCTCTTGCTTCGACCGCAGGCCAGGTGTTCGACGGAATGCCTCAGAGGACAGAGGAAATTCTAGAGAGAGGCCATGGGGTCCTCCGATTTTTATTTTTATTTTTGGTCTGGTAGTTGCAAGAAGCATATAATTGCTCTTGGGATCAATTCACAAATCACGATGAATAGGATTTGGATACTTGCGAACACACAATCTTTTTAGTGCATTGTGTTTTTAGTTACTGTCGTCATGCAAGGGAGTTTTCTGACGTGATGTTTATGCAGGAGGGTGTACGCGTTGAATGTTGTCGGTACGATACCTGCGGAGCTGGAGAGTCTCAGATATCTGGCTAACTTGTATGGTTTCAAATTCTTATGCCTTAGAATTTTTTTTTATGATGATTGATGGAGCACTTTCTGTTGCACTGTCAAATAGTTGAACAGTATTTTTGCAGTAAATATTGATCCAATCCCATGTTTTGACTAATCAATTTTCAGTTAGCAGGAAAAAACTGGATTAATAGTAATCATACCTCGTGTGTTTGGCTAATTTGTTTGATGATTCTTGTGTTGTTTCAGGAACCTGCAGCAAAATTACTTGACTGGCCCTGTGCCATCATTCATTGGGAAGCTTACTTTCATGCAATACCTGTAAGAGTTTGATTTCAAGTTATATATTCTTCTACATCAGTCTGTTGGAGCTTTCTCTTAGACATCTTCTCTCCTTGTTATTTTTTCGTTTATGAAAAAAGGACCTTATCAATCAATTCGCTATCTGGGCCCCTTCCAAAGGAAATTGGGAATCTCACGGATCTTCGATCATTGTAAGAGATCTTCTTGCATGTCTTCTCATTCTCAACAATTGATTAGTGTCTGAAGTAAATTAATTGCATATATTCTCAAGGAGAAGTTCTAAAAAAACATTACTCATATGCAAGTCTTGTCGGTGCAATTTACCTTTTCCAAATGGTGTTCATAACCTTAATCCAAATGAAATCCTAAAAAGGTGAATATTATGGATCATCAGGAAAAGTTAATCCACTTTTCTGCTATTTTTAGTGCAGATAAACAAGTTATATCAATTCTAAACTATTTCCTTTTGTTTCAGAGGCATTGGCTCAAACAATTTTACTGGTGAACTTCCTGAAGAACTGGGCAACTTGACCAAACTCGAACAATTGTAAGATCCCCCGCCCACCCTCCCCCCCCCTCCCCCCCCCCTTAACCGCCAAATGCTACTCTAAATAACTAAAATTGTGACCAGTAATATCTGTATTGTTAAACATGATAATTACTATAATGTTTTGATAACAGGTACATTGATAGTTCTGGCTTCAGTGGTCCATTCCCTTCAACATTATCAAAACTTAAGAATCTGGAGAAGCTGTATGGTCAACAACAGAGCCATAGTAGTTATATTTGTTGTGCTTCATATGCTCAAATTGTATTTATGTTGTTGTTCTTGCAGGTGGGCATCAGATAATGATTTCACAGGGAAAATACCTGATTATTTAGGGACCTTGACAAAGTTGGTGGAACTGTAAGATTTATTGTTAACTTATCAGTTTAATTTATGTTATTTATCCTATACAGGATACAAATAGATCGATTGTGCAACATATCTGCTCTGCATATATTATTTTCATTTGAATTAGGAGAAATATTCATCAACACAGGCATCTGCATGGGCAATATGTTTTATTTTTGGTGGATCAGATATTTATTTATTTTTCTGTAGACTCTTTGTGTTTTTTGCATATTTGATCAGTATCTAACAAAAAATAGATTCTAACCATCCATGCCAAGCAGTTCATACATGTAGGCTTTCTTCAAATAGCTTTTGTGACTAACTCAAACTCCATCTCAATGTATGTGTGCATGGTGTTTTGAATATTTTCTTAGTTACTTATATTGGGGACTCAAGACACTTGTATAAATTTTAATAGAACTCAAACATATTTGTTAGGGTATCTGTGCAATACACCAATTAAGATATTGATCCTCTTCCTATCTAAAGGATATGCTGGTTAAATAGATTGGATTGTTAGGGTTTTTCTCCTTTTCTTGATTATTTTGCGAAATTTTGATTAATATAGGAATTTCTGCCCTTTTAGCTATCTACGAGTAACGTGGGGGTTTCTAAAAAAGGGTCCTGGAGTATAGTGTAAAGAAAGCCAAAGTTTCACTTTCCAGTTCTTGCTATCTTTTGCTTGAACTCTGAAATTTGTCATTCCAAGCTCTTTGAAATGCAGAGCATACTTCTTATGTTAATTTATTTAGCATATTCCTACCTTTTCTTAAAGTGTAAACTTGTAGGAGGTTCCAAGGAAATTCTTTTCAAGGCCCGATTCCAGCAAGTTTGTCTAATTTGTCCAACTTGACAAGCTTGTAAGTACTTCTTTCTTAGGTGACATTTTCCCCCTGATGGTTGGCAAGGCCAAGCTTGTCATGATAATTTGTGTTCTAAATACACATATGCAGACGAATTGGTGATATTGTAAACGGGAGCTCTTCGCTGGCCTTTATCAGTAACCTGACGTCTTTGAATATCCTGTATGTGACATGTTTTAAAGTTTTATTAAACATCTTACAGTTTTATACATTGAAAACTTGTTTCTAAGTTTGGATCTTTTGTTCTTTCAGAATATTGAGGAACTGCAAGATATCCGATAATCTCAGAACAGTAAATTTCTCTAAGCTTGGAAGATTAACCTTGTTGTAAGTTTTTCTTGACATAGTACCACGTTCTATTGCTATTGGTTATTATTTCTCGTAGTTTTATGTGTGTTTACTTAAGTAATATTGCTAAACGTATGCCATAGGGACTTGAGCTTTAATAATATCACAGGCGAAGTTCCTCAGTCCATCCTTAATCTGAACAACCTTGGATACTTGTAAGGAATTCTTTCTGAAGATTATTGCTGTTATAGAAACGCCTGTTAAGCTGACATCCATGTTTTGTCGTCTTGAATGGTGACTCAATTCAGGTTTCTCGGGAACAATAGCCTTACAGGAAGCCTGCCAGATGCGAAGAGCTCCTCCCTAACCAATTTGTATGGCTGCCAATTCAACATATATAGTATTATAGCCAAAATAGATTTCAGCATTGCAATGATATATTCATTTCATATGTTAGTAATCTTGGATTTTTGCAGAGATTTTTCATACAATCAACTCACGGGAAGCTTTCCTTCATGGGTTACCAATAACAATTTGCAATTGTAAGTTAAAATTTCTGATGAAAAATGGAAATAAAGACAGACTATGTTGTATGAAGTTTGTTGCCTGACAAGTTACACGCGTTGTTTGTACAAGGAATTTGGTGGCAAATAAATTTAATATTCGTGAGAACAACAATAGGTACTTGTGTCATTTATCTACAAGCCTATGTTTTTTACAAAACCTTTTTGACCATTATTTTTTAATGTTTTATTCCATTACACACAGTATTCTACCTTCAGGACTAAACTGTTTACAACAAGACACTCCATGTTTGCTAGGTTCTCCAGAATGTATGTTATTTAAAACTTAATCATTTGTAGCAGTTGAAAGGATTCGGGAATTTCAGTAATGGCCATAATTTTGTACATCTTAACTGCAGACTATTCTTTTGCGGTAGACTGTGGCAGTAATAAATCTATGAAAGGCTCAGATAATACTATATATGAAGTAGATGCTGCAAATCTCGGAGTCGCATCATACTATGTTACCAGAAATACAAGATGGGGTGTCAGCAATGTTGGAATATTCAATGATGCCTCAAGTCGAAACTATGTAATAAATAGTTCCCAACAGTTTCAAAACACATTGGATTCAGAATTATTCCAAACCGCGAGGATGTCACCATCATCCCTAAGATACTATGGTCTAGGACTTGAGAATGGAAATTATAGTGTCAAGCTTCAATTTGCAGAGTTTGCTTATCCAGATTCAAAGACTTGGGAGAGCACAGGAAGGCGAATTTTTGACATATATGTGCAGGTAGATACATATCACAATGCGCATTAATTTGTTTACCTGATTTTTTTTCTTTATATGAAAATGTTCACTTGACATTTGCATAGGGTGTTCTGAAAGAAAAGAATTTTGATATAAGGAAAGCAGTTGGTGGAAAATCTTTTACTGCAGTTAACAAAATATATAATACAATCGTGTCGAAAAACTTCCTTGAGATCCATCTCTTCTGGGCTGGCAAGGGCACTTGTTGTATTCCAACTCAAGGTTACTACGGACCAATGATATCTGCACTAAGTGTCACCCCAAGTAAGCCCAACAATTGAATAATTTAACCTGAATAATGGATTATAGTATATTCTAATTACTAAAACCCTTTTTCCAGATTTTACTCCTACCGTGAGAAATGGAGAGCCAAAAAAGAAAAGTAAGGCAGGTGTGATTGTCGGAATAGTGATCGGTGCATTAGTTTTAGGATCAGCAGCCTTAGTTGGAATCTTTATGTTGATAAGTAAGAGAAGAAAAGCGACCCAACAGCAAGAAGGTATCATCATTTATTAGTGCAGCTATTCAAAAATTGAAATTTTCAAATGGTTTATTCTTTCCCATGTGTACTGAAAATTGCAGAGCTGTACAACCTTGCTGGAAGGCCTAATGTCTTTAGTAATGCTGAACTAAAGTTAGCTACAGAGAATTTCAGTTCTCAAAATATGGTGGGAGAAGGTGGATATGGGCAAGTATATAAGGTTAGTGGCCCCCCAACTCAATCCGTGAAACTTATCTTACTAAGTTGAACTGCCTTTGCAATTTAATTGGTATATAATCAAAATATGTATGTAACCTAGAGATCTTCCTTTGGCAGGGTAAGCTACCTGATGGAAGAGTCATAGCTGTCAAACAACTTTCTCAATCATCCCATCAGGGAAAAAGCGAGTTCGTGACAGAGGTTGCAACAATTTCAGCTGTGCAACATCGGAACCTTGTGAAATTGCACGGCTGCTGCATTGATAGTAACACACCCTTGTTGGTTTATGAGTACCTCGAAAATGGAAGCCTAGACAGAGCACTCTTTGGTAAGTTCCATTTTGCTCATCACTAGCACCTGTTAAGCTCCTTGCTTCATGCACTCTCGAGAATTATCTTCTCTACATTAGACCATCATCTTAATTATCAAGACCTTATTTCTACATGTTCAGGAAGCAAAAGCTTTAATCTAGACTGGCCAACACGCTTTGAGATCGTTTTGGGCGTTGCTAGAGGCCTAACTTATCTTCACGAAGAGTCTAGCGTTCGCATCGTGCATAGAGACATCAAAGCCAGCAATGTCTTACTTGACACTGATCTCACCCCCAAGATCTCTGACTTTGGACTTGCAAAGCTCTATGATGAGAAGAAGACCCATATCAGCACAAAAATAGCCGGCACGCTGTATGAACATTTTATACCATGCTCTTATTCCGAGTTTATGTTCAAAACATAACCTAATATTTTTATCCTCACCTGACCTTTTCAAGTGGCTATCTGGCACCCGAGTATGCAATGAGAGGCCATCTGACTGAAAAGGCCGACGTTTTTGCATTTGGGGTAGTCGCCTTGGAGACTGTTGCTGGTCGACCAAACACCGACAACTCTCGTGAAGAAGATAAGATCTATCTCTTTGAATGGGTAAGCCTATATATTGATGATCTTTGAATCCAGGAGAACACATCAGCTGATGCTAGTCCCTAAAGTAATGTAAGCTGTGCATTTGCTAATTTATAGGCCTGGACACTATATGAGAGCGGGCAAGCACTCGGGATCGTAGACCCAAAACTCAAGGAATTCAATGAGAAGGAAGCCTTGAGAGTCATCTGTGCCGCACTCCTTTGCACTCAAGGGTCACCACACCAGCGGCCATCAATGTCCAGAGTCATGGCTATCCTAGCCGGAGATATTGAGGTGACTGAGGTGGTGACGAAGCCGAGCTACATCACTGAATGGCAGCTCAGAGGAGGAGGTGACACTAGCTATGCCACCAGCTCCTACTACTCTGGATCTACTACTGGTGAGTTCAGGGAGAAGAGGGAGACCGCCCCTCTCAACTCGTATCCAGGGATAGCTGGACGCATTGACGAAGGAAGGTGAATGCAGAGCTGCAAAGTGCAAACCATTGTTGTTCCTGGTTTCAAGTGACAATTTTGGATATTATTCCTGCCTATATAATTGTATGTTGATGTAAGTTGCAGAAAACAAATACGAAAGTACTTATTCTGATTTTTTTCCATGATGACAAAACCAGTACTCGTAATTTCTAAACCCGATCTTCCACAGCATCTCCCAACTCGGTGGTTATGTTGTTCATATTAGTCATGTCTATTGCTGAGGATGGCAACATGATCTTTTTTTTCTGACTAGTAATAATGTCTTTACGTTGTACTAACAGGCTAGGCTTATACAATTAGAGATATGCTAGGAGGGTGATTGAGAATAGAACATTGGAACCGATGGTTACTTTTCGCGTACGATACTCATTTTAAGGTAGTAGTGATAAATGGTTACATGGCAAATCCTCATTTGATCTCGCGCCATCTCTTTGTGAGCATGTGACAAGGAGAATTGCTACCTGAAGAACGCGTTATGAAGCGCTAACAAAAACATCAGGGTAGGTTTACCAACCCCAACCCTCTGATGGAATATCTTCAACTTTGGGAAATTTGAACCGGGATTAAGTTCACTCTTGGAGTGGAAGAGATCAACTCATATGGACACCACATCTTCTTCAGATCAGGTGTGCTTACAAATTACAAGTTACAACTAGATCAGCTAACGGTCATTTGTGTGTGTGTGTGGGGCAGGGGGTGGAATAATTTGAGCATTGGAAGCTAATTTGGACAACTTGGGGCTCCATTTCGCTGCAGAATTTCAGTGTGGTTAGCATCGCTGAATCGTTGTTGGACTGCTGACCGATTGGGTCGTCGCAGTCTTGATCACCATGAATAATTCACACTATATATGTGTGTGGTGGAGGAGAACATGCAGCACTTGCTGACTACTTGATGTGTGTGTTGACAAGTGTGTTTGCTTCTGATCTGTGCTGTTCTTGGTTGGACCTGCACCATCAAACAACAGGGCCAGATGACGTTGTTTTCAGCAAGTAGTGGCGTCAGGCTTTGCAACAAATCACTAAGCAACATTGGTTAGTACTATTGGTCGCTTGGTGGATATGAAACCATAGGAATTTCAGGGCTTCAACTATTAGAGATGAGACCAAGTTGTGGTGTATTGCATTGGCCAAAAGACCTTAGAAGCATTTTCATCTTTGCCTTAATGTTAAGGAAAAAGTACGAATTACACCCCCGAACTATCGCGGTCGTCCGAATTACCCCCCGAACCACAGAACCGGACATTCTTCACCCCCAACTATGAATACCGGACGAATTACCCCCCTCGACCCAATCCACGGTGGTTTTGGTCTACGTGGCGTACACGTGGCAGTCCAGTCAGCATTCTATTTATTTAAAAAATTGTGGGACCCACCGGTCATACACAATTCTCTCTTCTCTCTCTCACACTCTCTCACGACTCTATCTCTCCCTCTTCCTCTCTCTCTCTCCCTCTCTCTCACAGGGTCAGCAGCGGCGGGGGACACGGAGCGATGGCAGCCGCGGCGCGTGACGCGGCGGCGGTGGCGGCGGCGCGTGGCGTGGAGGCCGCGGCGGTGGTGGCTGCCGGGAGGCGGAGGCGGTAGCAGCCGGCGCGTGGAGGAGCGGCGGCGGACGGCGGCGTCGCAGCGACGACCGAGCAGAGGAGGAGGGCGGACGGCGGCGTCGCGGCGTCGGCCGAGCGGAGGAGGAGGGCGGACGGCGGCGTCGCGGCGACGGCCGAGCGGAGGCGGCGCACGGGGGCGGGCGGCGGACGGCGGCGTCGCGGCGACGGCCGAGTGGAGGAGGAGGGCGGCGGCTGCGGGCGCTGCGCACGGGGGCGGGCGGCGGACGGCGGCGCGGTGCAGTAGCAGGGGCGATGAGGGCGGCGTGCGGCGCGGCGGCAGGGAGGCGGGTGAGAGCGAGGTAGGAGGAGGCGAGGAGGAGGGCGGCGGCGGCGACGGGGAGGAGGCGCGGGCGCGGCGTGGTGGCGTGAGGGAGCATGGCGTCGCAGCCGCCCCCGTGCTCCGTGCCCGCCCCCGTGCGCCGCGCCCGCAGCCGCCGTGCGCCGCTCGCCCCCGTGAGCAGCGCCCGCAGCCGCTGCTCTCCTCCTCCGCTCGGCCGTCGCCGCGACGCCGCCGTCCACCGCCCCCGTGTGCCGCCTCCGCTCGGCCGACGCCGCCGTCCGCCCTCCTCCTCTGCTCGGCTGTCGCCGCGACGCCGCCGTCCACCGCCGCTCCTCCACGTGCCGGCTGCTACCGCCTCCGCCTCCCGGCAGCCACCACCGCCGCGGCCTCCGCGCCACGCGCCGCCGCCGCTGCCGCCGCCGCCGCGTCACGCGCCGCGGCTGCCGCCGCTGACCCCGTGAGAGAGAGAGGGAGAGAGAGAGGAAGAGGGAAAGACAGAGAAGTGAGAGAGAAGAGAGTTGTGAATGACAGGTGGGTCCCACAAAATTATAAATAGAATGCTGACTGAACTGCCATGTGTACGCCACGTAGACCAAAACCACCGCAGATTGGGTCGAGGGGGGTAATTCGTCCGGTATTCATAGTTGGGGGTGAAGAATGTCCGGTTTTGTGGTTCGGGGGATAATTCAGACGACCGCGATAGTTCGGGGGTGTAATTCGTACTTTTTCCTAATGTTAATGGGTGTATAGGAGTCTTTTAGACATTTTCTTAATATAGTGATACGTAGTTTTTCTGCTCGTTCGAGAAAAAAAATAACAAAGAATTAAATGGACAGCTTTACAAGGCTGTATGGATCATAATTATGCAATGGCTTGCTTGCAGTGAAGATCTAATCTACAGAGAAGAGGGGATTGCTACTTCTGACGAACTCAATGTTTGTAACAACCAAAATATTAATACCCATCAAAGCCCTATATAAAAAAAGAGATACGATCAGTGATACTATGTGTAAAACATGTACGATGACCTTAGTAGGTTGCTTAATATAACATTATTAAACAAGGTTGGCTATATCTTGGGGGACAGGGGGAGTATTAACTTCTAATTAAGCAGGTGTGTATTGCCAAAAACTTTATTAATATTTAGACAAGATTGTTGTTTAGAAAAATAATATTCAGACAAGATACTTGCTCAAATGCCATCCTCTGTCACTATCAATCTACATATATATTTGTTGGTGTTATGAAATACCTAACGCGCGTTCCATTGAATTTGTCAAAACATAACTAACGTTCAAGCACAATGTCCAGCAAATTATAATAATACTGACAATTAGTAACAATAAATTAAGGTACTGCAGTCCTTTTCGGTGTTTACTAGAGCCAAATCCATATCAAATCCAAATCAATCGCCATCTTTCAGAAGAGTATGTTGGCTCGAGTAAATAAATGTTTGAGATAGTACTATATTTTGAGTAAACTAGAGCCAAATTAAAATAATACCGACAACTATTAGCAAGGTACTTCCGTCCTTTTCAGGGTTAACTTCAATAGTACAACATCCAAATATATCCCATATAATCCAAATCAGTCGCCCTCTTTCAGTAGAGTACATTGTCTCGAGTAATTAATGTTTGAGAAAATAAATAAATAAATAAAATAATGTTTGAGAAACCTAGAGACTTTCAATTAAATCTTTTTTTTATTTTTTAAGGGCCGCTAGCTATCAAGATTTCTCAACACTTATCCGTTGATCTATGTGGTAGTTACATAGATGTTGTAGCCCAATTGGTACTAGAAAGTAGAAACCACAGCATTAGTTGTCCACTTGGAAAAAAAGTAATCTCAAATTTAATTATTTAGATTGGTTCACCAAAGTAGGTTGCTACATATTTATAGAGTAAAGTTGGAGTTGTACATATTTATAGATTGCGGACATATAATTTTCACATGGTTGCTACGGCATTTTTCTAAAATTCCTGCGTGCGAGTCATGTGAACCGAGTACATAAACAGTTAAAAACCCAAAGAAATTACCAATCCTACGAAAATCCATTCAAAAGCCCAATGGTCAAACTAGAACAAGAATGACCAATACACGTACTAATTATCTAATTATTGACTCATATAGTAATTAACATGGTACTCCATAATTTAGCTAGCATTCAATAATCTTCCTAGGGTCATGAGATTTCAGGAAACACAACATAGATATTTCACTGAAAAAAACCCTATGAACCTAATGAGCCTATAGTCAACTGTTGGTAGCACTGCTTGTTCCTTCAGCTAGAGATCTTTTTGTCGTTCATATAGGCACAAGTCATACAACGAGAGTTCACATTTAGATATGTATGGTCAAATATGAAAATCTTGAAATAAAAAAAGTTAAGATTCATTATATACAAACAATATTAATAGGTTTTTCACGAATAATAAGGACCCTATATATACTTTTACTAATCTTTATAAATATACGATTAAAAAGATATATAAAGTCTATAAGTGTAGTAAAAATTGTGCCAGTACTATTCTCGAATCGAGGCCGAGTCAAAAAGTGTAGAGGGAGAGTATACTTAACATTTCCATCATGCATCCAATGGGAATCGAGGCCGATCGAGTCAAAAAGTACTTGATATCATCAATTAATCCTGGGAAAATTGAAATGCTTAACATTTCCATCATGTGCATATCCAATGGGATAGATTGACAACGTCATGTCAACTAATAATTTAATTTCTACTAACGTCACTTAGTTCATATGAAACCTTCCTAGCTTAATTGCTACTATCATGTTAAAATTAATATTGCGTAGCTGAGGATAAACATATAGTTTGGGGTGTGGATCCCTGGAGTTGCCTTCAAATCCACCAGGTGGATTTACTTAATCCAAGCCATCCCTTTAATTCGATGGATTAGATTAAATCCAATCCCTTCTCTCCTGGTTACTACTAGCCTACTTTCTTTCTCCACTATTATAAAAATTGAAGATGTTTTTGCCGGTATTTTGGTACTTCATCCATGTATGAGTCGGTTTTTAAGTTCATTTGCTTTTGAAAATACATATTCGTATTTGATTCGGTTTTTAAGATCGTTCACTTTTGATAATACAGAAAGAATCATATAAGAAATCTGTTTTTTAAAAAAAACTCGCATGCTAACTTGAGACGATCGGACTCTCCTAACTGCAGCTCATGATTTTCTAAAAATATATATATCCAAGAGAACTCCTACAGTGAATTTCATCTTAACTAAACCATATAATAATAATAAGATTAAAATAAACTTCACCCGTTGCAACGCACGGGTATTTTTTCTAGTCAAAAGAAATATAGGTTGTGTTCTTAGGTGAGGGAAAACGGAGCAATGGATTAATGTGTAATTAATTAATTATATATTAGCTTAAAAACTTTAAAAATGGATTAATATGATTTTTGAAAGCAACTTTTCTATAGAAAACTTTTGCAAAACACGCACCGTTTAGCAGTTTGAAAAGTGAGCGCACAGTAAATGAGAGAGTGAGGTTGAGAACTTGGACTTAAGAACACAGCCATAATGTAGAGTCTATAAAAAACGTTATCTAGTATAGTAGAGAACATGTTACCTTCAAACTTTTCTGACAACAATTAGATAAGAACAAACAAAACAAAAACATTGCACCGATAGAAGCTTCTTGTTCTGTCGATTATTAGGATGAATGAGTTCGATAAAGGTCTCGATACCGTTAATTATTTTAACAACTCACTTAAAAAAGTTTAAAGATAATTATTTTTTACTCCATGATGCTCTTCCGAGACAATTGATCTGAATGGACGGACTAAAAAAAGTAGATAGAATTATTTCTGCTGTAAATGTGTAATTGAAAAGACGTGATATGGCTACATCTAGCCTCTAGAAACAAAGCAAGGGGTCAGATTGGTCCAAATTCACTGGTTGGAGGTGACATGGCTAGGTTTATTATGGTGGAAGCTGCACACTGGTTCCGATCCAGTCTAAGATTTTGCACTAGCACGAGTAAAAAAGGCACATGCACACTTGCCGCTGTTTGTGATGTGCACTTGCCTTTGTCATTACAAACACTATATAATGCTCCGCGCTTTGTTGCAGATATATGTATTAGATAATGGAGAAATGATAAAATGATTTGGATTGTAATATTATGAAAATGATTTGAGAATGATGATTTTGCATGTGCATGTTTAGTTTTAGAATGAAATAAATTATAAATATAATTACTATATGCTTGCATGTTTAATAGGTTGATGTGACATGCTTGCATGTAGATTTTAGGAGGGCAAACAAATACTATGCTTACATGCTGAGGTTTACGTGCTTAGTGGGCATTAGCTTCATAGAAAGAAGTGATTAGATATACCTCTCTAATGGCAAATTTCAAAGGAGAGCCTCTAAATTTGGGATTTTCATACAGAGATAGAGACATTTTTAAGGTATTCTACCTATGATATTGTTTATTCTAGGAGACAACTTTAACACATTATATATATATTTGCTAAATTGAGGCATTTTTATGCAATCATATGCAAAGGCATCGAGGTATATTTTAAATATATATATATAGAGAGGGATTTTTAGGAGGTTAATTTATACTAGATAGGGAGATATAAGCAACATGACACATAGATAAACAAGTCATGAGATTAGGTTGAGATGGTTAGTGCATTGCCGACAATTATAATCTTATAAGAATAAAAATGCATGTGGAAAAAAAATGCTGCGTAAAGACATTTTATAAAATATCTCATCATTAACTATGACAACTCATTATGAAGCATTGTTAGCTAGAATGCAATATTAAAATAATGTTTTTTACAATATTCATAAAACGTCTCCCCAGTATGTTTTTTTGTTGTAGTGCGTACGGATTCTCATTATTATCGGGATGCTATCTTTTTCATCGCGATTGTCACACGGTTGTTGTATGGTTTGCATCACGAAACTAGCCAGGCATTGGCCCTCGCCACCACCCTCCACTCAAGTGTCCCAGCAGGGCCGTCCCTAAGGGCGCGCGGCCGGAGCGACCGAATAGGGTTCCCATTTTCCAGGGGCCCCCCTATTGGATGTGGGTGTAGGGATGGTGCACGAATGTAGACAGATGTGAGATTTGTGACTGCTTCCAGCACTGCTTTGAAATATCTATGTATTGTATCTGGACTATGCTGAAACCAATCTTGAAGTGTTTCATTGGTTGCATTTTTTGCCACTGTATATAAGAATATAGCAATCTGCTCTTCTACTGAAACATATATTGTGTCAGTTAGGTACTCTTTCTCACGTAACTTATTGACTAGTGCATGAAAAATGTCGACCTCCATACGGAAGTTTCTTTTGCATAATCTTTCATGTCCTGTTAAAATCTCATGTACACGGCAACCCCCTGTAAGTTTTGACGTGTGCATTGGTCTCCTAATACAAGATGATTGTGATGAATCTCCTAAAGTAGGCAGAACAAAATGAATGAACTCATCATCACTTTCTGATATACGTCGGTAGCTTGGATTCATGGTGTGCAGATGCTACCAAACTGATGCTGTAAACTCACATAGAAGAGAGCTAAAAATCAAGACTTTTGCTGAGGAAAAAACAATTTTGGTGCACCAGATGAACAAGTAGTACCTTGTTGTTACACGAGCAAGTAACGTCTAGCTATGGTGGCTAGACGATGAGTAAAGCTTCTGGAAAAATTATGCAGATAGTGAAGAGAAGAACAAAGGATCAGCAAGCTTCTTCCACAGTTGATGAGCAAATAGAAAGAACAGGGGAGAATGGTGCACAAGGCTAACGAGGGCTATTTATGCACTTCAAAGCTAACAGCTAGTTGAGGGCCGATGTCAGTTGATGCAAACTTAAAAAAATATATTTCAAATGGCAGATTTCCTACACTTCTCCTGTGGTGTATCCGAATGCACATTTTTTTTTCAATTCCTGAGGTTTAGCTTCCCATAGGATTGAACTCCACAACCATCTCTATTCCTTCATTTTTCCTAATCCTATGAATGAAAAAATCCTTTAAAACGAATAAGCCCTAAAATTCAATACTCATCATGAGAGAGCGGTCAATCGCTGAAGCACAGGACGAATCAAGGAGCAGACCACAGTACACCACAGCAAAGGATGAGAGCAGCCGACAGAGGGGTAGACAAACAGATGGCAGCGGCAGCCGATAGGTACGGCAGAACGTACGGTAGACACTATGAACAGGGCTAGCTCGCCTACTACTTGTTGCTGCTCATCGCCGCCGCCCGCCGGCAACAACTTCTCTGAACCAAACAAGATTGCCATTGGGCAGACACTATGAACCCTTGTGTGTTACAGCTACGACCCCATCCGCAGCGACCCAAATGCTAAGGTGTATGCAAAGAAGCAGCATGGGGCATCAGATCTATGCATAACAACGGAAGAGGAGGCACCAAACCTGCAATCAACGCGTCCTTGCCGATCTCTGCCGTGGCTCTTCCCGTTGTTGCCGTTGCGTCCTGTCACCTAGGCGGCGAAGGTGCATCCGGTGCCGGCGATCGATGTGGGAGAGGAGGTCCAGTACCCAATCGTGGAGACAGGAGAGGAAGTGGTAGAGGAGATGGGATCAAAGGCGATGGCTTCTATGCGAGTCTGTTTGCCTCCTGTGATTTTTTTTATTTTCCTTTCAGCGGTACCTACCTTTTTTGTCGTGAGAGCGAAAAGATTACGCGCGCAGTGCGCTCGTGGCGCGCTCTTTTCGCGCCAGGAAAATTTTCAAGAGGTCATACTGGATGCAAAAATTCCTGTGTTTTACCGATACAGCTGGCACAAAAGGAAATTTCCCTTCAAATTTCCTATAGCTCAATCCTGTAAACCGAATGCTGTATACAGGATTCAAATCCTCTGTTTTGGAAATCCTTTGGTTTTTCTTAGAAACGAATAAGCCCTTAATGTGTACGTTATTTGGTTTATCCACTACTTCCCCCGTTTCATAATGTAAGACATTCTAGCATTTCCCACATTCATATCTATCTAGATTCATTAACATCAATATGAATGTGGGAAATACTAGAATGACTTACATTGTGAAACGGAGAGAGTATATGTACAGGGCCCCGGAATTTCACGGGACGGCCCTGTGTCCCAGCAAGGTTGAGTGGCTGAGCCTTAGGACCGAGATTGGCACCCACCCAGCCATGCACAAGTCCTTGAGAGAGATTGGACGATGACCTCGTCATTCTTCCGGGGTGTACATTTTAGAGTCCAGTGCAACAGTACTAGCCACAACGATGGGTTGCAAGTAGCCGATTGATATAACCACAGAAGGTCGCCTCTTGGAAAAAAAATATCGGACGACCCCGTCGTCGTCCTTCCCGATCGATATGTATATGATGATGGTGGATGTGATCGATCACTAAATTAAACCCAGAAACACACGCTGATAAAAGTACATTAATTTGTACATATATACCTGTCACAAGAATCGATTTTTAGGCAGCAGAGAGACAGACAGACAGACAGGCAGACAGAGTGATCAGAGCGAGATAACGTGACACAGAGACACAGAGAGGCAAAGAGATGATGAGGATACGCTGCAGCAGCAGCAGCAGCGGCGGCCATGGTGGTCATCAGCTCATCCTGTGCTGGCTGGTGATCGCGTGCTCATGGGTTGCAGTAGCTCGAGCTCAGGCTCAGAAGCCGGCAGGAGCAACAACTGATCCAGTCGAAGGTATGTATATATGTATTTATCAGTTAATTACATGCATTCACAGATTACAGAGACACCGCTGTTCTTTTCTGCTGGAGAGATGTTCTTGGAGAAAAGACATAGATTTTCATGGTTGCACACAAGCATGTTCCTCTCTTCTTTCCATTTTCTTTGAGACTTCGGAGTTCAGAGAGACATGGCTTATGAGTTATGACTACTACATGCTTGATGATGCTTCCTTGTTTGTAGTAGCATCTACCATGGGTACAGTTGATGCAACTTGCAACAGATTACAGTTGAAACTGTAATATTTAGGGGTCTCTAATTCTTGGAGGTTCAGAGATGGGCCTGGATCTTCTTTCCTTTTCCTTGCGACTTTAGAGAGACATGAAACTTACTACATGTTTGATGAGTTGATGTGTAGCATTTAGCATGGATATAATTGACGCAACTTGCAAATTGCAACAGCTTAGAGACAAATTAGCAGTTAGCAGTGAGAGTTAATCCTCGGATTCCTCGGATATTATTAATTCGTTCCTTTCTTGGCCGTTTACTGTTTTTTTTTTTTAAATTGAAGAGAAGACCAAAGGTCAGAACACCCACGTTTTTGTGATGAACAGTAAAAGAAAAAGTTCAGAGCAAGAATTTCATCATTACGGCGATGAACAGCATCAGACATCTTCTGTTTTCCAAGTTCAGTGATCAAGTTCAAGTTTGATACACCATCCAAATCTTTGCTTCTTCCTGCTGTTTCTGTTTTGTTGACTAATGGAGGAGAGGAGTTCTGTTTGGTGTGGTTGGTGACCGTTAAAAAGTCAATTTTTTCTCTCTTTCTGACGTTGTTTTCTCGCCTCTGTTTTTTTGCTAGTTTTCTCTTCACACATACTTCCTTCCTTTCAAATTAAAGTCTTTTTACTTTTTTTCTACACAAACTTGTTTGGTCAAATTTACAGAAAAAAATAGAAACATTAAAAATTGACCTTTTTCGTAGATAAACTTGTTTGATCAAATTTACAGAAAAAATAGAAACATTAAAAATAATAAATTAGTTTCATTAAATCTAAGATCGAATATATTTCGATAATAAGTTTTTTTTTTAAAAAAACTAATATGTTTTTTTTATAAATTTAGTTAAAGTTGTAAAAAAATCAAAACGACTTATAATATAAAACGGAGAGAATAAAAGGTAAAAAAATTGATTGGATTCGTGTGCAAATGTCAACGCAGTGGCGGCGCTGAACACGATTCTGGGGCGATGGGGAACGAAGCCGCCCAAAACGTGGAACATCACCGGCGGCGACCCCTGCACCGGCACCGCCGTCGACGACACCGACATCGACAACAACCCCATCGTCAACCCCGGCATCAAGTGCGACTGCACATTCAACAACAACACCGTCTGCCGCATCGTCAAGCTGTACGTATCCTCCCCTGAACTCAAACCTCTTGTCTCAGCTGCAGGCAAGGTGTTCGACGCATTGCCTGACTGAAAGAGAGAGGCCATGCGATCCTCCAAAATTAGGATGCTGGTGGTTGCAGGAATGCTCTGGGATCAAGTGACGATGAATTGAATTTGGATAACTATCACCTAATTCATTTAGCAAAGCATATATAGTTTTTTTTTTTACTTGTCATCAGAGGAATTTTACTGATGATGTTTATGCAGGAGGGTGTACGCGCTGAATGTTGTCGGTCAGATACCTGCAGAGCTGGAGAAACTCACCCATCTAGCTAACTTGTATGGTGCCTAACTCTTTATGCCTCTGTCTTGATGACGGAACACATGTCTGTCTTAACATTTGATGATCGAACACAATCTGTTGAACGATGTTTCTGCAGTAAATACTAATTCAGTCCCATTCTTTGAACATTCAATTGTCACTTGCCAGACAAAACACGGATAAATAGATATCAGAAATCAGGTATACAATTCCTTTTTGTACTCTGTCTAACTTGCTTGGCGATTCTTATGTTGTTTCAGAAACCTGATGCAAAATTACTTGACTGGTCCTGTGCCATCATTCTTTGGCAAATTTCCCATGCAGTACTTGTAAGAGTTAAATTCCAAGTTATATATTTTTGTACCATCCAATATCTGCTGGTGCTTTCTCTTAATCATCTTTCTTTCTTTCTTTCTTGTTTTATTTTAAAAAGGAGCTTAGCAATCAATCCATTATCTGGACCACTTCCAAAGGAACTTGGGAACCTCACAAATCTCATCTCATTGTAAGATATCCCTTCCACGATTTCTCATGTTACTTAATCATTTCAATTTCATTTTCCTTTCCTAGTGTGTTTAATATACTGAAACCCAAACAACGAAGTCTCAAAAGTGGTGGATATTATGGATCAACACTGTTGCAGACAAATAAGTTATGTTACTCAACTATTTCCTTTTGTTTCAGAGGTATCAGCCTGAACAATTTTACTGGAAACCTTCCTGAAGAATTGGGCAACTTGACCAAACTCGAGCAAATGTAAATCTCCCCCCTCCCCCCTTTAATTAACCAGTAGAACACTACTTCAGAAAGAACTGACAAGCAAGATCTATATTGTTGAACATGCTAATTACTATGTTTCAATAACAGGTATATTGATAGTTCTGGCTTCTCTGGTCCATTCCCTTCGACAATTTCAAAACTTAAGAAGCTGAAGATCCTGTACATTCAAGAACTGAGCCACAGTTATTATGTTTATTGTGTCTTCATACACTCAATGCTATATATGTTGTTGTGCTTGCAGGTGGATATCAGATAATGATTTCACAGGGAAAATACCTGATTTTATTGGGAGCTTGACTAACTTGGAGGATTTGTAAGATTTTTGTCAACCTCTTAACATAATCATTTATTATATCCTATCAAGGAGATGAATAGAAATCTTGCAACATAACTTTTCTGTATGTATTCTTTTCATTTGAATTAAGAGAACAACGTTATTCATTTTTTAGTCCTCAACTTCGACATAAATGCTACGTTATGAATAAATTTACATTTTCTTTATCTATTCATGCAAGATGTTAAAATGTATATCTTAAGGTGGACTTTACATCTTCCTAATTTCTTAAAGCATGAACTTGTAGGAGGTTGCAAGGAAATTCTTTTCAAGGTCCGATCCCAGCAAGTTTTTCTAAGTTAACCAAGTTGACAAGCTTGTAAGTATTCTGTTCTTTGGCCACATTTGTCCCTTGACTGTTGGGAAGGCCAAACTTGTCTTAATAGTGCCAAATACACATATGCAGACGGATTGGTGATATTGTAAATGGGAGCTCTTCATTGGCCTTTATTAGCAACCTGACGTCCTTAAATGTCCTGTATGTGTCCTGCTTTTAAGTTCTAACGATAGATATTATTGTTTTTTTTATTGCAAAGTACTATTGGAGTAGTATTTTCTGAGACAACATATTCTTTGTTTCAGAATATTGAGGAACTGCAAGATATCCGATAATCTTGGAGCAGTAAATTTTACTAAGCTTTCTCGATTAAACTTGCTGTAGGTTTTGTCTTTATGGCATACTGACTATTTATGTTATTAGTTATTGTTTCTCATAGTTTCATGTGAAGTGTTTACTCAAGTAATATTGCTAAACATATGGCACAGGGACTTGAGTTTTAACAATATCACGGGCGAAGTTCCTCAGTCCATCCTTAATCTGAACAGCCTTCGATATTTGTAAGGAATTCTTTTATGGCGATTATTTCTGTTATAGAAATACATCTTAAGCTAATGTCCATGCCTCATCGTCTTGAATGGAAACTCAATTCAGGTTTCTTGGGAACAATAGCCTTACAGGAAGCCTGCCAGATGTGAAGAGCTCCTCACTAAATAATTTGTATGCTAAAATGATTTTCAGCATTGCAATGATATATTCATTTCATACGTTCGTAATCCTAGGCTTTTTGCAGAGATTTTTCGTACAACCAACTCATGGGAAACTTTCCTTCATGGGCTACCAATAATAATTTACAACTGTAAGTTGAAAGTTCTGAAATTTCAGACAAATATATATTGATTTAGACACTCTCTACATTATGTGAAATTATTGCCTGACAAGTTAGACGTATTTTTTTGTACAAGGAATTTGGTGGCAAACAAATTTAATATTCGAAGCAACAACGATAGGTACCTATAACATATTTGCAAATATTTATTTTTGACGTCACCTTCCTCATAATTTTTATTTCTTGTTTCTGTTATGCGCACAGTATTCTACCTTCAGGACTAAACTGCCTACAGCAAGACACTCCTTGTTTCCTCGGTTCTCCGGAATGTATATTTTTGCACTCTTCATCGATTTTAGCATTTAAGAAAATATCTCAGGATTTTCAATAAAAGGTTATAATTTTGTTCATCTTAACTGCATGCAGACTATTCCTTTGCAGTAGACTCTGGTAGTAATAGATCTGTGAGAGGTTTGGATAATACTGTGTACGAAGCTGATGCTACAAGTCTCGGAGCTGCATCATACTATGTTACGGGGCAAACACGATGGGGTATCAGCAATGTAGGAAAATTCAATGAGGCCCCAAATGGAAGTTACCTAATGTACAGCTCGCAACAATTTCAAAATGCGTTGGATTCAGAATTGTTCCAGACTGCCAGAATGTCACCATCGTCCCTGAGATACTATGGCCTAGGGCTTGAGAATGGAAATTACACTGTTCTTCTTCAATTTGCAGAGTTTGCTTATCCAGACACAAAGACTTGGCAAAGCATCGGAAGGAGAGTTTTTGACATATATGTCCAGGTACATATTGAGCGCATAGTACAATAATTCAATTACCTATTTTGTACCCTTTATTAACATATTTGTTTGTCCAACTTGGCATCTGCATAGGGTGATCTGAAAGAAAAGAACTTCGATGTAAGGAAAACAGCTGGCGGAAAATCTTTTATTGCAGTTAACAAAAGATACAACGCAACTGTGTCAAAAAACTTCCTTGAGATACATCTGTTCTGGGCTGGCAAAGGCACTTGTTGCATTCCTACTCAAGGTTACTATGGACCCATGATCTCTGCACTAAGTATCACTCCAAGTAAGCTCAGTACCCGAATTAGTTAACTTGAAGAATGTATGATAGTTTTTTTTTTCTGATTACTGAAACACGTTGTCCAGATTTTACTCCTACTGTGAGAAATGGAGTTCCAAAAAAGAAAAGTAAAGCTGGTGTAATTGCTGGGATAGTGATTGGTGCGTCAGTTATAGGATCAGCAGCCTTACTTGGGATCTTTGTTTTGGTAAAGAAGAGAAGAAAAGCGGCAAGGCAGCAAGAAGGTATCATTTAAGTGCAGCTCTTTAGGTGCCAAAATTTTCAAATGAGTTATTCTTTCTCATGTGTTGTGAAAAAAAATGCAGAACTATACAACCTGGTTGGAAGGCCTAATATCTTCAGTAGCGCAGAACTGAAATTAGCTACAGACAATTTCAGTTCTCAAAACGTGATTGGAGAAGGCGGATATGGGCCAGTATATAAGGTTAGTGGTTCCCACAAGTCGTCAATCAATCTATGAGGATTTACCTTATTGTGTACTAACTAAAATTGTTTTGCAACTCAACTGGTGTAAAATCAAAATATGTATGTAACTCAGGGATCTTTCTTTGACAGGGTAAGCTACCTGATGGAAGAATTATAGCTGTCAAACAACTTTCTCAATCATCTCATCAGGGGAAAAGTGAATTCGTGACAGAAGTTGCAACAATTTCAGCCGTGCAGCACAAGAACCTTGTGAAATTGTATGGCTGTTGCATTGACAGCAGCACACCCTTGTTGGTTTATGAGTACCTCGAAAACGGAAGCCTAGACCAAGCACTCTTTGGTAAGTTCAGTTGTGCGACCTTCTTCCTTTCATGTACTGTCAAGAACTTTTCTTCTCTGCATTATACCATCATCTCAATTCTCAAGGCCTTATTTCTCCATGTTCAGGACATGGTAGCTTGAACCTAGATTGGCCAACACGCTTCGAGATCATTTTAGGTATTGCAAGAGGCATAACTTATCTTCATGAGGAGTCCAGCATTCGGATTGTGCATAGGGATATCAAAGCTAGCAACGTCTTGCTTGACACTGATCTGAGCCCCCAAATCTCCGATTTTGGACTTGCCAAGCTCTATGATGAAAAGGAGACCCATATCAGCACGAAAATCGCTGGCACATTGTATGCACATTTCACCCTTTCTTTTCTTATGAGTTTACCTTTGAAGTCTAAGCTAATTTTATCTCGTCTGACCTTTTGAAGCGGCTATCTGGCACCCGAGTATGCAATGAGAGGCCATCTGACTGAAAAGGCTGATGTTTTCGCATTTGGAGTTGTTGCTCTAGAAACAGTTGCTGGCCGATCAAACACCGACAATTCCCTTGATAATGACAAGATCTATCTCTTTGAATGGGTAAGTTGATCAATGGTCTTTGCATCCAAGAAAATACATTGGCTGATTCTATTTCTCACAATCAACACGTTGTCCGTATGATAATTTATACTAGGCTTGGGGGCTATATGAAAGAGAGCAAGGAATCAAAATCGTAGACCCAAAACTCGATGAGTTTGACAGTGAGGAAGCCTTCAGAGTCATCTATGCCGCACTTTTGTGCACTCAAGGGTCACCACACCAGCGACCACCAATGTCTAGGGTCCTGGCAATTCTTACTGGAGACATTGAGATGACTGAGATGGTGACGAAGCCGAGCTACATCACTGAGTGGCAACTCAGAGGAGGGAACACCAGCTATATAAGCAGCAACTATAGCTCTGGATCTACTACTGGTGAATTTAGAGAGCAGAGGGAGACTTCCCCACTCACCCCTTCTCCAACGATAACCGGAGTCACATATGATGGAAGGTGAATGCAAATATGTTCAAATCGCTTCTGGTTTTAGCTTCAAGTGATATTTTTGGACATTGTGGAGTTGCAACAAATATATGGATTTATTTTGTTCTGAATATTTTCCATACTCATAACCAAGTCATCCTGGTAATTTGTATATGCCAGTTGTATTTGCATGGGTGCTTTAAAATTCATTTAGTTAAATTAGTTTTGATTTTTTTTTTGAGAAATGACTGACGAATTTGTTGGCTAGAGCACACTTCCGTAATCACAGATGCTTGGCATTGCATAAATTAATTAAAATGAATGGCAAATGAATCAAGTGACAGTTATAAGGTTGTATGGACCTCAGTCCTACGAGGGGCAATGGCTTTCTTGCAGCAAAGATCTTCAGTCTATGGCAAAAGAGGGATCACTGCTTCTGAAGAAAGTTGTGTAGTACTTCAAAATTCAAGATGTGGAGTATCTATACTCCATACTCTTTTAAAATATTCCAATGGTGATGGTGGTGAATCTGCCACCACCCACCACCACTAGTCCACTACCATGTGGGTCCCTCAAACAGTCTCACAACCCTAAGCCATCAAACAATGAAAATTTATTTTACGATGCAAATATTTTTTTTTTAATTTTTTAGGCTTTACAATGTACAGTTGGTTCCCTTTTTAATTCCCGTTGCAATGCACGGGCATTAAGCTAGTTGATATAAATATTAATTAGTTAACCCTTTATCGATCTTTCCAAATAGTGTGTGAGAAATCCAATTTTGCCGGAGTAAACATATGTGGTAAAAGTTACATGTTCCAGAATAGTTTCCAAAGAATGTTGATAAATCCTAACGGATGGCAGAATCAAATTTTTACAAGCTATGTATAACTATATTTCCAATATATATATTTTTTACAAACATATTATTAGAACAAATCGATACTACATATATGTGCATTGACACTGAAAAAAAGCACAAACGGAGTAACTGATCAACACGCCCGGATGCATGTGTATCCATGGTGAAACATAGCTAATATATATAAGAATTTTCCAAGGTGCAATAATTAATTCCAGTTACGCGGCGGCCAAACAAAGTCATATGTTACCACCATCATGTAACGGTGGTTGCTAATTTGATAGCACGACACATGGGGGATTGCTACAAATCGGACATTTGATATTTTGTAAAACATCGGTGTTGCATTGTATTGTTGAAAAATGTTTATTCATTGAAAATGTTTTAGATGTTTTATCAATCGGGAAAAATGTTTTATTGCTTGAATGAAAATGTTTCAGCTCTCAAACAAAACATATATATTTTAATAAATTAAAATGGTGAAACACAATCGGATCACATCGTGGAACATTTTAGTGTAGCATTTGAAACATCAAGTTTCAATTATTGAAACATCCACAGATCTCACCCATAAAAGGAAAAGAATATGAAACAACACAAAAACTCACTGCAACATTTTGATCCAATACAAAGGAACACTTAAAACATATTGGCTTAAATATTGAAAAAATGGGAAAAAAATAGTCTCAACTACTTCCTCCTCTGCGGTGACCGGGCATCGCTAGACTTGGCACTAGTTCACTGCAGTTGTGTTGTGCTCTGCGTGGGCCATTAAAGAAGCCAAGGCCAAGCTCGTCCCGTTGCCATTGAGGACGGGTGGCTACTGATGTTGTGCCGCATCGCCGTTGAGGAAGCCGAGGCCGACCGAGCCACCTTTGAGTAAGCTGAGGAGGCTGTCGTCGAGGACGAGCGTGAGAGGCCGCCATCGAGGATGAGAGTAAGAGGCCACCGTTGTCGAGGACGAGAGCCTCATCACTGCTCGTGATGAGATAGTGGAGAGAGATAAGGGGGAGAGAGAGAGAGAGAGAGGGAGAGATGAGATAAGATTGGAGCTGTTGTGGAGAAATGAATGGGTTGGTGGTGTCTAGTGAGCAAGTAAAGATGAGAGAGAAGGGTTCGGTGGGACCTTCCTAGGTGAAGCGTTGGGGATATAGGGCTCACGTTAGATGGGTGATATGAAGCATTTTGTGAGACATGCAATTATAGGAAATATACTAAGAAAATGTTGGCCAAAAGTCATTAAAGGAGATACTATAAGGATTTAAAATTATGTTTCAAAGTTTGGACTTCCTACTGAATATCTTCAAAAACATATAGATACGAGAGACCGTTATGAATATTTTGGCATCAACGATCTCAAATAAAAGAAATTTTAACTACAAAGTTATAGACCCATCGAGCTCTATAATTTTGATACAAAGCATGTCTCCATCCGAGGTCGTTCAAAAACTCAAAATTTTGTTTTTCTAAAACAAAAGATTTGAGAGCTTGTATTGAATATTTAGGTCCATTTGTCATATCTAATTTCATGAAAAATTTACGATTTCTCTTAAGTAGTATTACTCCCGTTTCCTAGGGGTTCCTTGAGAGAATTGTCCTTAAGATTTTTTAGACAACCCCGGTAAAAATTACATAATATATATATATATATATATAGACACACACACACACATATATATATATATATGATATAGAAAACTCAACTCACAAATTATGATATAAAAAACAAATTCCCATATAAATAGTAGTGGTACTATTCATTGGTATTTGTCTTTTTTTTTGTCAAATGCGTAGGTTGAATTTGAAATTGATTTTGTTGGAATTAATACTAGATATCGCTATACTCTACATTGTCAGGTTACATGAGACAATAGGGGTGTAGACAAGTGTGGGGGCAGCTAGGATTTAATTAAGCCCTACTCTTAGACCCAACATCCCTGTTGTCCAAATTTTGGTGTTAACACCTATTAAAATCTATCAAAATGTTAACTCTTAAGAGATAAAATAATTTGTTAAGAATACATCATCAAGCCCTAAGCTGAAAGTGATAATATATCTTGGCTCCATCATTGCAAGGGAACATATCCCATCGAAAGAGTAGAATCCATTTCCCCTAATTTCTCATTAAATACTTCCTCCATGTTCGTCGGCTTGAAGAAGTTTCCTTTGAAATATATGCATATCTGCTCAACTGACTAACGGCCTCATCTTTTCACTTATGCTTATACTTATCAGTCAAAATTTAAATTTTCAATCTTAAATTTAGAGTTGATTTTGAGATTTTTTTTCATCGTAGTTTATTTTTTAGCCTTTGCTTTTAGATCGTTAAGAACACATATATAAAAGTTTTATTCATAAATTATTTTTCATCTGTAAATATGCTATTTCGCATTTTCCTCATATCAGCCAATGGGGCTGTAAACTAATTAATCCATCCTTTCAGTACTTATTGCTGCGATTACAGCTCTTCTCAAAGTATGACAGTAAATGCATGCATCTGGCCGGCCTGGGGTCAAGTCGTCGATCGGCTTAATTCAACTAGTAGCTCATGTCGTCGTCGTCATTGATTGACCAAGCGTTTGCTCACTGCTCACGATGCTTACATGAAGCCTAGCAACCCTTCCATTTCAACAAAGAGTGTCGCTAGCTGCAGTACGCGTGCACATGGCCAACTTGTTTGTGTCTCATGGTAGTACGAGGTAGCTATGTTGTGGATGCAGCTTCTGCATGCTAGCTAGGTCGAGCTTAACAATCGGCCGGCTATATACGTGCTAGTATTATAATTCAGTGGTCATGGCTAGCTAGTGGCATATTGGCGTCAATGCTGTCTGTCGACGAGGGATACTCGTAGACCGGAAAGTATGGGTATTAGAGTACGTTGATACGAGGATCTATACGTACACGATGCGACATCAAGCAAACAAAGAGACAAATCTATATAGGTTTGACAAATTAAATCTATGTTAAGCTATATTAGCAAAAGTTTTGAATCGAATGTTTTGATTACTTATAAAAATATAAATCTATAGTTAGATTTGAATTTTGCTGCTAAGAACCGGTAGTAAGTTACTGACAAGCGAAGAAAGAAGGGATAGAGTAATCCATCAAGCCCAGATGTGGAGCAATTTTACGGTCCTCTCAGATATATCATCCCTAGGCAAAATACAGAGAGCCTCCTTCCAACGGCCAGTCCGATTACGCGGCCAAACATATATAGCCGTATACCTAATAAACAATAATATGATACTACTTTTGCCTCAGAATATAAGGATTTTTAGTGTGTGATACGTTTATTAAGAAAATAGATAGAATTAAATAGAGAAAAAATATATGATTGGATAAGAAGTGAAAGTAGGTGAGAAAATCAAATAATGGAGAGTTGTGATTCATTAGGAAGAAAATGTTGACAAAAAAGTTGTTATATTTTGAGATATAATTTTAAAGGCTAAAAGTTGTTATATTTTAAAACGAAGAGAGCACTACTTTGTTACACGTGTGCATTCTACAACTATGGGTCAAGTCGTCCATCTGATTCAACTAGGTCAAGTCATCGTCCCAGTGTACAGGGCCCGCCCGCCCGGTCATGCTTACATGCACTATCTCAATTTCAAAATGCACACCCACTATTTTAAAATATATGACGCGGTTAACTCTTCACGTAATGTTTGATTATTATATAAATATTATTTTTGTCACTAAAACATCAAATAAAATATAATTTTAACTTATACTTTTACATATTTATATTAAATTTTTAATAAGACGAATGATCAAATGTTATTAGGAAAATCAACCGTGTTATACATTTTGAAAAGGAGTTAGTACATTGTTATTGACTTTTACATTCGAGCATTTGTTTTATTTAAAAACTATTTGCGTAGTATTTATTTTGTTTGGATTTGTTTTATTATTAAAGATATTTTAACCTTGACTAATATTTTTAATAGCTGTACTAAAATGTAAATAAAACACCAATATCTAAAAGTACAATGCATCATGCATTATTTATAAACAGAGAGAGTACTAGCTAGCAGCCTAGCAAAACCATTCCATTTCAACAGAGTGGCCGCAGTACACGTACGTATATATTACATTCTACATCGATCGCTGGGGAGCTATTGGTTTCTGCTACATATGTTACTCTCTCAGTCCCATATTAATTATCGTTCTGGGTTATTTGGCATAGGCTAAGGTTTTAGAAAAAAGATTATAGTACCTTTTATTATGTGATGTATAGTTCAATGTGGAATGATGGCTGAGTGTACACAGAGAAGTGAAATTTTGAATTATAAGTGATTGATGGGACAAGTAATACTTCTTTATGATCAATTATTTCAACATAAAGTTTGAATTAACGTAAATAAACAATT